TGTTGATACAAAGATTTGGCCCGACAATTGGATTTTGGATGAAATGCCAAGAATTCCAAAATATCGACAAGATGTTGATGTTGATCTCACAATGAATGTCTCTACATTTATAAAGGCACATTCTGGGCATTGAGATGAGGATATCATTAGGCGGTATGTAGAGGAGGAAGACATTCGACAGATTCTAAAAATGAAAATCTCGATGTAGAGAGCAGATATGGAATGTTGGGGTTTAACCAAAGATGAAAAATATTCGTCTAAAAGTGGTTACAATTTTCTAGAAACGTTAGCTAAAATGCAATCAGGGCTCTCCTTCCACTATTCTACCGATTGAGTAAAAGCTCTGGACTAGAGTGTGGAAACTGAAAACGTCCCCAAAGATTCGTCATTTTTTCTGGAAATCTCTATCCGGAGCAATAGCAGTCAAGGAGCGTTTGCAAACACGAGGTACTCCTATTGATCCTTCTTATAGTTCATGTGCTACGTGGGTTCCTGAAAGCATATGCCATGTTCTCTTCGATTGTCATATTGCAAAGTCAACATGGGAAGCCTCCAATATCCCTTTACCTCCGTCAGGTCTCTCCACCAACTCTGTATTCTTGAATATTCATCACTTCTTGGCTTGTAGCCAAAATCGGACCTTGTCCCCGAGTATCAGATATGTGTTTCCTTGGATTCTTTGGCATTTGTGGAAAGCTCGTAATGCACTAACCTTTGAAAACATAAGATATGATCCCTTGTCCATCCTTTCCAAAGCGACGGAATATGCCACAGCTTGGTACGGTCTAAACAACTCTGTTTCACACGAATCCAATTGCTAAGAATCCGGATAAATTGGCTAAAACCCCCTCCAAACTTGGTTAAATGTAATATGGGTGCTATATGGAGTAGTGTGAACAGTAAAGGAGGGGTTTCTTGGATTGTAAGAGATCACACCGGTAAGGCTTTGTTCCACAGCTGAAGGTCTTATGCCTTCCTCTCCTCGGTCATCGAAACAGAACATTGGAGCCTCATGTGGTCGATTGAATCCATCAGAGACCTCAGGTTTCACAGGGTTATCTTTGAAGCCAATTTTCCTCAAGCTAGGGATGCTCTCGTACACCTTCATCGCTACCCTCAGTTCAGCTGGTTGTTGGATCGAATTGGCCTTCTCCTCCATTCGTTCTCCTGGTGGAGTCTAAACTAAACCACACCGTGGAGTCTTGTAATCAGGTGGCCATAGCGATTGCGGAGAGTGTAATCAAAGACGGACGCCACCAGTCTTATATTGCGAGAAACGGTCCGAACTGGCTTCATCGGATCATCACATCGGAAGCCATGGTGGTTTAGTTTACCTCTGGGACCAGGCCTTGTTACGAACGTCCCCCTCGGTTGGTTGGTAAGCCTTCTCCCTTCTGCTTGTGGCTGGGTTTATTATTTGTTGAGAATTTGTAAGGTGCTCGTGGTATCATGTTCGTGTCTCTGTTTTTGGAGTTCTTATCCTCTTTGGTTCTGTTTTGTATTCATCATTCTCTGTTTCAGTTACTTTATTAAACGAAAAGCACTAAAAAAAACCCTTCATTTTGCTACCAAACCAGATACATAGCCACAAAATAAACTTAGTTATTTGATCAAATTGTTGTAGTGTGGTCTCATGTGATCCTGATAGTGATAGAACTTAAACGATTACACATAGGGTTTCAACTTTTAACTAATTTTTAATATAAATCTTCGAACTACGTTTATAACCCTCCCAACTAGTTTTCTACAAACGAAAAATTAGCAAAATATAGTAGCTTTAAGAAGAAACAAAAAGTTAAAAAACTACAATCCCCAACCCGACGGTTTATTACATCATGGTACAAGCGTTGGGGTTCTCGTCGCTGAAAATCTGAGGTGGAAATGCATACATTTCCACGGGATACCTCGGTGGCTGGTATTGAAACTCGTTCTTCTTCAGGTCCACCACTTTCGTCCCCTCCTCCGCCGCAGCACCACCGTCTCCACCAGCCGCCGGTTTAGCCAGCACTCCTCCACCACTCTCTTCGTTAGGCTCCTTTCCTTCTTTAGGTGCCCC